AGTGGCTACCCCCGAGAGTTAGTGGAGAAACTTGTCGACGGGGCGTCAGAAGGAATGTTGGTTCGTCCATGATTGCGTGGACGGCGACTCTTGCTGGATCCAATCATATCTCCACGGGAATCTCACACCAAGAGGCAACATTGGCATCGCGGGCGGCCGGCGAAGCCCCAGACCCTGACTTTTCACACTGGAAGTTTGAAGATTGAGAACTATAAGAACAATAGAGAGAGAAAATTTTCACTTTGTTAACGAACCAAGATTGAGATATCGTAGTACATAAGAACTGTGGATTTTAGGGACAATGATGAGAATGGAGAGTTCTCTCCATGAAAAATGAAAAGGTGTAGTTTGGAAGGTAGAAGTTGGGGTTGAAAAGACCACAAAGTGTGAGAAGTAAGTGCTGAATTCGCCATATAACTATTTCTTTCAAAGCAGTTGATATGTCTAGGGATTTCAAAAGGCATGCACCGTTGGAAGTAATAGCTATTATGACTTAGAATTGAACTACAGGAGCATTTACATCAAATAGCCTTGAGTAATGAAAATCAAGAGAAAATAGGGAATTTCGTTATGATGGAAATTATAAGTTTTCAACTGGATTCTCCATACGATTCTGCGCAGATTGATATATGGATGTTGGGGGTTTCGTTGAGTAGGAGCCGAGATATGCAACCGGAGCCAAATGCCCCTTCGGCTCTGGTCGTTCTCTGCCGCCTCTCAAAATTGCACACTCTCTACGCAACTAGGCGCCCTCCACGGGGCATTTGGCTCTGGTGCCCTTTTCTCCGTTGTTTGCAAATGAATGTAAGCAATTCGTATATCATTATGAAGCTCTTGAAACGTGAATTTGAACAGACAACTGCGCAACATTCAGTTTATTGGTCTGGATGAATAAAGTAAGAAAAACCGTGTTTTCTGTTTTCCTCGATTTCTAGGTCAAATTGAAGTTTTTAAGTCCGTGTTTTTGTTTTCCTCGATTTCTAGGTCAAATTGAAGTTTTTAAGTCCGTTTTTCCACTCATTCGACAGGAAATCTTGTCCGCAATACAGTTAACTGCGCAACTTTCAGAAATAATGAATTTAGGGAGAAATTTGAAGGAAACATGCAAAAATGCCTTTTCTTTTACAGTCGTTCCTTACTTAATTATGAAAGGAATAATTCTGCTTTCAATCTTATTTTCAGCGCGTGACTTTAGCCTATAAGATCACTGCCATGCATCTCACGTAACCACTCTCGTAATCCCATAAATCTCCTAGTTTTTCTCTACCTTTCCCCGTTTTCTTCCCTTGGTTGGTCCCAAAGCGAAAAATGTATGCAATTAAAGCGCGAAAGTTCAAAATTCCAATGAC